TTCCTTTTCCTTTTCCTTCCTCCCACAGTTGTGCTGATCGGTGAGTCAGGGGTGGGCAAGACAAACCTGCTGTCTCGTTTCACCCGCAACGAGTTCAACCACGACAGCCGCACCACCATCGGCGTGGAGTTCTCCACGCGCACCATCCTGGTGGGAGACGCCGCGGTCAAGGCTCAGATCTGGGACACGGCCGGGCTGGAGCGCTACCGTGCCATCACCTCCGCGTAAGGACCTCAGAGCCGGCCCTGCTGGGGCTTGGCTGCAGCCCCACGGGTGAGGATGGGTGCTGGGGGGGAAACTGGAGCAGGGAATGATGGTGGGGGTCTCTCACACAGGTATTACCGGGGGGCTGTGGGTGCTCTGGTGGTGTTTGATATCACCAAGCACCAGACGTACGACGTGGTGGATCGCTGGCTGAAGGAGCTCTACGACCACGCTGAGGCCAGCATCGTTGTCATGCTGGTGGGGAACAAGACTGACCTGGCACAGGCTCGAGAGGTGCCCATGGAGGAGGCCAAAATGTTTGCAGGTACAGGCTGGAACTCCCCCACAGGGCTGGGGGCTTGAGAACCTCCCCGACAGTGTGGACCTGCACTTCTAAAGGTGCTCCAGATTGGAGCCATGGGGCTGAACACTTCTAAAGGTGCTCCGGATTGGAGTCATGGTACCTGAACACCTCTAAAGGTGCTCCAGATTGGAGCCATGGGGCTGAACACCTCTAAAGGTGCTCCAGATTGGAGTCATGGCAGCTGAACACCTCTAAAGGTGCTCCAGGTTGGAGTCATGGCAGCTGAACACCTCTAAAGGTGCTCCAGGTTGGAGCCATGGGGCTGAACACCTCTAAAGGTGCTCCGGATTGGAGCCATGGCACCTGAACACTTCTAAAGGTGCTCCAGGTTGGAGCCATGGGGTCTGCATCATCTCAGGGGTCTCCTCTCCTTGCAGACAACAACGGGCTGCTGTTTGTGGAGACCTCAGCGCTGGACTCCACCAATGTTGAGGAAGCATTCGAGACCATCCTGAAGGGTACAGGCACTGGTGCTGTGCTGCAGCAGGTCCCAGGGATGCAGGGCTGGGCAGATGATGTGCAGCACTTCTCTCCCTGCTCCACTTGAGCTATTTGGAGCTATTTTCATGAGGTCTTTTAGTGTTGCCTTTCTGTCTGCTTTGGTTTTCAGCCTTTGGTGCTGGGCGTTTCACTCCCCACACCCGAAACTTTGTTCTCACGGCCCCTGGGCATCCCTGAAGCCCCAGGAGCTGCTTCTCCCCCATAATCTCCAGTCTCCTTCCTGTTGTCCTGGGCTCATGACTTGGTGTCTCCAGCATCCTGCCAAACCGGCTGGGGGGACCTGGGGGGCCAGGGATGGAGTCCAAGAGCAGCTCTCCAGGAATGCAGCATCCAGGCAGTGAGGTGTGCCATGCCATGCAGTGCTATTCCATGCCATGCCAAGCCATGCAGTGCTATTCCATGCCATGCAGTGCTGTTCCATGCCATGCTGAGCCATGCCAAGCCATGCAGTGCTATTCCATGCCATGCCACGCTGAGCCAGCCTGGCCCAGTGAGGTGCCAGCCCCAGCACAGGGTGAAGCACTAATCCCAGGTTGAGCAAGAGGAAATGGCCCAAGCACAGGGTGTTCCCCAAGCACTGCAGGGATGCAGGCCCTGTCCCTTGTTTTTATCTTATTGCAAAAGTTCCATGCATCCGTGGTGATTGCTCATGGGCAGCTCCTCACAGCACTGCCAACAAACTCCAGCTCTCTTCTTGACCATCTAACCCACTCTTTTATAGCACTCATCTTTCTTGTGGCCTATTAAGAGCAGGCCTGTTCCTAACCTTTGGTAATTAGCACAGCTCCAGCTCCTCAGAGATGAGGGTGAGATTGCCTTCTGCACTATTTCTTACATTCTATCCCTCACGCCTTGTCACCCCTGTGCTGTGCAGAGGTGAAGGGGAGCCACCAGCACGCACAGCAGTGGGGGCTGCAGGCTTGAAGCTGTCCCTGCATCCCCAGGGGGCTTTCCCTGACACACAGACCCCCCTCCCCAGCACTTCTTCTTTTGCAGAAATCTTCTACAAAGTGCAGAAGCAGAAGCAGAGGAGCAGCCAAAGCAACACGGTGTCACTTGCGAGTGAGAGCCCTGCGAGCACAGCCCCAGCACAGGCAGAGAGGCGCCCGTGCTGCGTGGCCCTCTGAGCACCCCAGGATGTCCCCAGGGACCCCCACAAGCCCGGGACACACCAGTGGCCCCCAGCACCAGCTGGTGTCACCCTGCCCACAGTGCCACCCCTGTCCTGGTGCAGTGGGGTCCAGCAGCCTGGACAAGGAGGGGTTAAATTGTGCCATAAACAGTGAGAAGCCGCAGTTCCAGGAGCTCTTCTCTCTCTGTTGCATTTTTGCTGGGCCCTGATTAGCATCACCACTGTCACGAATTGTTTCAGCCCTTCTGGACCTGCAGGGCAAAATGACCAGGACACCCTCTGGGGAAGGAGCCAGGAGGTTCTGGGCAGGGTCATGCCAGCAACAGGAGCCTCTCTGATTACCTGGGGCTCCTGTAGGGCCACCCTGTGCCCTGCACTGAGATGAGGCTGCCCTGCAGGTGTCTGTCCCAGCAGGGACTGCTCTGGGGTGTGAAGTGGCAGCACTCAGCCCTTGGCTGCCCCAGCAGGGCCCGGTGCCACGGGGCAGGGAGCAGCTCCGTGTCCAGCAGGGGCGTGACACAATCATTAAAGGACTTGTGAAATGCAGGTTTACTGAGCTGGAATTCCTGCGTGTTTGTGCTCCACGCCCTGGGGCTCTCCACCTTCATAATGTGCTGAAGATCGTGGCCTCCAAAGCTGCCCAGATGGATGCCAAGGCTCCCCTGTGCCCCCCTACCCCGATGCCATGGATCCCTGTGCCCCCTCCCCCCCAAAAGCTGGGCTTATCCTGTGCCCTCTTCCCACCCTAAAGCCGTGCCCCTGTGCCCCTTCCCACCCTAAAACTGGGCTCATCCTGTGCCCCTTCCCATCCTAAAGCCGTGGTGCCCCCTGTGCCCCTTCCCACCCTAAAGCTGTGCCCCCTGTGCCCCTTTTACCCTAAACCTGTGCCCCCTGCACTCCCTCCCACCCTAAAGCCGTGTCCCCTGTGCCCCTTCCGACACTAAAGCTGAGCTCATCCTGTGCCCCTTCCCACCCTAAAGCCGTGCCCCCCGTGCCCCCTCTCCATGCAGCCTTTCCCAGTTTAGCTCCCCTGTTTGATCTTTATCAGTTCAGACAATGACGCAGCCTCTGCCGGCTATCTGAAACCCCTCGGAATAATTCTAAAAAACAACCCCAGGGATAATTCCTGCTGGATTCTCGTGTTTTCACTGGATTTCCCTTTGCACCAGCCCCGCTCGGTGTCACACCCGCGGCTCTGTGCAGGGCGCGCTGTCCCCATCAGGAGCGCACACAGGCGCTGCCGTGTCCCTGCCCCCTCACCTGGCCCAGGTGAGCACACCTGAGTGTGACGGGCAGCCCTGGCCGCCAATGGGTGCGGAGCAGGAAAGGCTGTGGCCACCAATGGGTGCCTGGGGACAGCCCCGGGCCGGGCTGGGAAGGGCCGGAAATCCCAGTTGGCCCAGTGGGAGCGGGGCTGTGGAGCTGGGAGAGATGCGGGGCAAGGACGATGAGTACGATTATCTCTTCAAAGGTGGGTCTGCTGCCCGTGCCCGCCGTGCCCGTGCCCGCTATGAACCCGCTGCGGGCACCCCTGGTGTGGGACGGGAGCTGGGGTTGGGACTGGGATAGAACACCAAGCCCCCAGTTCATGGGATGGGGGGCTTGGACTGGGATGGAAAACTCAGCTCCCAGTTCATAGAATGGGAGGAGGGGCTTGTACTGGGATAGAACACTCAATTCCCAGTCCAGGAGATGGAGAACTGGGGCTTGGACTAGGACAGAATACTCAGCTCCCAGTTCATGGGACAGGAGCTGGGGTTGTACTGGGGTAGAACACTCAATTCCCAGTTAATGGGACAGAGAGCTTGGGCTTGGACTGGGATAGAGCACTCAGCTCCCAGTTCATGGGACAGGAGCTGGAGCTTGAACTGGGATAGAACACTCAGCTCCCAGTTCATGGTGGGGCTTGGACTGGGGTAGAGCACTCAGCTCCCAGTTTATGGGATGGGGTCTTGGAGTGGGATAGAACACTCAGCTCCCAGTCCAGGGGATAGGGAGGGGGCTTGTATTGGGATAGAACACTCAGCTCCCAGTTCATAGGATAGGGAGCTTATACTGGGATAGAACACTCAATTCCCAGTCCAGGGGATGGGGGACTGGAGCTTGACTAGGACAGAATACTCAGCTCCCAGTTAATGGGACAGGAGCTGGGGTTGTACTGGGATAGAACACTCAATTCCCAGTTCATGGTGGGGGCTTGTATTGGGATAGAACACTCAGCTCCCAGTTCACAGGATGGGAGGGGGGCTTGCTGTGGTGTCTCACTGTGCTGTGCAGGAGGGTGGGTGCTGCTGAGGCTGAGGGGGTCAGAGGGTTTGCTAGAGCTGCTCCTGTGGTTTGTGGTCCTGATGCTCATCACAGCTGCTCTTGGCTCCTGAGGAGGGGCTGCAGCCCCAGCGTGAGTGTGCAGTGCCCTGGAGGGTGGCAGGGTGGCTGTGACTGTGGCTGTGACCATGGCAGGGTGCTGGGGAGGGCTGCTCCGTGGGACTCTGTGGGTGCTGTGTCAGGCCCTGAGCACCCATGGGTGCTCTGCTCTGCGGTGCTGGGTGAAGGGAGCCCAGCTGAGTGATGTCCCCAGGAGGGAAAGCCCTGCTGCTCCCCAGCTGCAGTGCAGGGAGAGCATCCAGGGACCCTTCCTGGTGCTGGTCATGCTCTGACCTCACAGCTCCAAGAGCCTGTCCCCCACCCTCGCTGTGCCCAGGGAGGGTGGGGGACAGGGACAGACCCTTGGAGACATTGGCTTGGCGTTTCTGCCTGGCACCCTGTGTGTTCCTGCGCTTTCCTGCGCTCTGCTGTGGCCAAAGCAGTGCTGGGGAAGCAAAGGGACATCCTGGCAATGCCACAGCAGCCTCCTGAGCTGTAAAATCCAGGCTGTGAGCTCACCTGTGAGTCAGCCTACCCACTCAGGCCTGCCTGCAAGGCCCTGAGTAATTCCAGCCAGCACAGGACGTAATTCCAGCCAGCCACGCTCTGGCAGCCCCTGGCTCCCTGCACACCTCCCCTGGCTGCTGCCCAGGAAAATCCTCCTGCCTGGAGTCACTCTGGCACCTGCTTGGGGGAAACTCTGATGCTGGGTGGTGCCTGCAGGGGGATGTCCAGGCAGGAGCTCCCCCAGCTGCTTTGTTCTGCATTTCCCACCCGGTGCTGTGCCGGCTACGTGGCTCTGAGGGGCCTTCAGCTCATGGTCCTCGTGTGTCTGTCCATCCCTTGTTGTTCTTTCCCTGGGAGCAGCTCACCACAGGCTCTTCACCCCCTCCTGGGTCTCAGGGTGTCCCACCCCACTGATACCTCTGCTGTGTGTGAGCAGGTCTTAGGATGAGGGAAGAGATGAGGATCTGACTCCATGTTTCAGAAGGCTTGATTTACTATTTCATGCTATATATTACATTAAAACTATACTAAAAGAATAGAAAAAAGGATTTCATCAGAAGGCTAGCTAAGAATAGAAAAAGAAAGAATGAATAACTAAAGCTTGTGGCTCAGTCAGAGGGTCTGAGCCAGCTGGGCTGTTATTGGCCATGAATTAGAAACAAGCACATGAGACCAATCACAGATGCACTTGTTGCATTCCACAGCAGCAGATAATCATTGTTTACATTTTATTCCTGAGGCCTCTCAGCTTCTCAGGAGGAAAAAAACCTAAGGAAAGGATTTTTCATAAAATATGTCTGTGCCAGCCGTGTCTGTGAAATGGGACAAAACCCCCCTGTTCTGACTTACGGGTTCTGCATCATCAGCGCGCATCCTGGGAATCTGCTACCCCCATGTTCTCAATTTTGACCTCTCCCACCAAAAGCTTGGTCAATCTGGAGGTTGTCCTGGCCAGCAGCTCACAGGTGAGGAGGTCCCAGGTGCTTTGGGTTTTCCTCCTTTCTGTGTTGAGCTTGAAGCGACTTGTCTTGGCAGAGGTCAGGTTGTCTGCTCAGGAATTTTTATCTCATGGTGTGCCTCTTCCCAGGCTGGGATTGAGCTTCTGATGTTCAGTGGTCTGAGCTCGTCATCCCGAGCCCAGCCCAGCTGCCTGCCCAGGAATGCCAAGATCTCAGGGTTTATGTGGTTGAGATGACCCCGAGGTATCAGAAAGTCTCTTTTTCCCAGCCCCAAGATCGAAGAAGGAGTCAGGATTCTTCTGTTCTGGTTTTCAATGTTGTTTATTCTCTGTTATTTCTAACATTCTTTTTCTGACCTGCTATGGTCTGTCCAGCAGGTCAGTTCATGGCACATAGACCACCTTGAGGCAGTGTTATCTTTTTATACTAAAAACTATGTGTACATTATTCACAGTAACTTCCCGATACCTATCACCTATGTTAGACAGTGAGTTTCTACCTTAAACCAATCCAAAAGTGCCACCATCACCCAGAAGATGGAGGCCGAGAAGAAGAAAGAAGGAGGACAAGGCACACCCAAATCCCTCCATCTTGGCTTCTGAAGCCCCATTCTAAAAACCCCAAAGTTTTACTTTTTCACCCTGTGACAAACTGTCATTATACTTAAACTCTTGTGGCTTGTAAATTTTAAACATAAAGTTGGTGATTTTCTCCATGAGTTAAAATCAAAGGTGCAGGGGCCTTGGGCTTCAAGGTCCAAGGTCTCTGAGCCCCCTGGCAGGGGCTGGAGCCCTCCAGGGAACCCAGAGGAGTTTCCTGGGTTCCGACCATGGTGGTCTCTGGAGTACTCAAAAGAACAGGAGAATTCAGTTTTCAATGCAAGGGCAGCTCATCCCTTCCAAAGCAGGAGCAAAGTCAAATGGAAATGCAATGTTCAGGGGCTTGGATTAG